CAGATCATTTAAAAAAAATTTTTTAAGTAAAAATATTTCTTTAAAAAAATGGGCTGGGTTCTTGTTTAGAAAGTCAAAAGTAATTGCTTCAAGAATTTTAATTTAATCTTTAGTCAGTGGTGAGGCTTGAAAAAATTCAGTGGAATCTTCCTGATAAAAAGAGGTTGTAAATGAAGGACCCAGATATTAAGGGCTACCGACATATTTTCCCAGGATCACCGGACTCCTACTTGTTGCTTTTCTGTCTGACTAGTTTCTCTTTATATATTTATTATTCCCAACTCTTCTTCCTCTTTCAGATCTCTGAACTTCTTTCTGTAAAATCCCTTAGAAATCTTATCTGTGATCACATTTTTCAACTCTTTTTCTGATGACACGCATGTAATCCCTGTTTCCAAACTCATTTCAATGAGTCCCATAGTGTTTCCAGAAGCAACCCAGTTTCATGTATATTTTCTGAAAGGTTGCTGCAGACCCCTCTGGATTTTTTAACTCCTTCCCAGAAAATCACCATGACTTATTTACTCTACCTCTGAAAATTTTTCAAATCCATTTTGCCTGCTCCCACAGCCATTTTTAAAATTCAGGACCTCACCAGCTTTCCTCTGGTACAACTACCGCTGTATTTCTGGAGCTTCTTTCCTTGACTAGCATGGCACTTGTTTTGCCTCTTACATGAAGTCAGTTGTCAGTCTTATGAATTCTTCCAAATTTATGTCATTTATCCTTCACTATCTAAATTCAAGGCATCTTCATCTGAGCTGGATTATTAGCAGAGTCCATTTATCTGTAGTAAATCTCCTTCTTATTCTAGCATATTCCAGTCAGACCTCCGGACTAGTCTGTCACTCCTCCTATCAATCTACTCATTCTACTTCAGAATCTGCCGTGGTTGCTAATTGTTTATGAGGTCTAGTCTGGTTTTCTTATTCTGCTATTTAAAGTCCTTGCTTTTCATGCTGTTGTCTGTCCCTATGCTTCACACAAATCCATATTGGAATGCCCTTTCCCTCCTCTGCCATCCTAATGAATGACTTCTTTATAAATCAGTTCAACACCTGCTATCTTGTAGCTCTAGCTACTGCCACTTTCATCCATCACATTTTTTTTTTCTGTTTTAAAATTCACAAGTACTACTTGGAGCACAAATTTCAAATTTGATTATACAACTTAGTATATTGTATTTGGGTCATTAAGTCATCATAAACTCTGAAACTGGCAGAGAGAAGAACAATAGATTTTGAAGTGTTTGTGTTGATTCCTACCAATAGTAATTCCCACTTAGGTAAATAGCCTTTTAAATCACTATGTAGGTGACACAAAATGGCGAAATAGTGCCTTCATAAGATGTGCAACTTGTGTCCTAAACTTTTATCATATACTTCACAGCTCAAGTGATGCACCATTCCCCATACACCACTTAGCCATAATTCCTAGAATGGTAATGGATACACATTGTACATTTTGTAAGTGCTTGTGAAATTAAAAAGTTAAATTATAGCTTTAGCAAGCATGTGGGGAAAATAATTAAAACTGTTTTCAAAATAAAGTGCAGCTGTTCTCTTGTTTACCAGGCCTGAGGTTTGGGTGATCATCACAGATAGAGTGCTTCCTATTACCAAGTCAACTCCTTTGCCCTCTTCTTAGGGGGTTGAATTCTGATTCTCTCCTTATGTGGAGACTGGCATAGTGGGTCCACTTTGGCTTTTAGGGGAGGATAGGGAATGGTATCAGCCAAGTGGCATGCTAAGAATTAAGGTGGGCGGGCGATAAATAGGGCTGGCAGAAGGACTAGTAGGCAAACTATTGAGGAAGTAATAGAAATGCAGGTCAAACAGTGGTTCTTAAATATTGGCCAAAGGAATTGGGGTGTCTAAACTATGGGTTGTGTCAAACAATGATGAAACCAGTATTCATCATTGGTACCTGATGTAAAAAGATGAAGCCAAATTTGTGGATTATAGTAATAAGGGAGAGCTATGCTGGTCAGGTAGTTCTTTCACAGCAGAGCAGACTATTGATCTTTTTTTTTTTTTTTTTGGCGACTTGCTGGTATGGGGATCTGAACCCTTGACCTTGGTGTGGGCCAACCCTGTTGATCTTATAGAGGGCTCTTGGGAAGTTTGGAAATTAGGTTGGTGGATTTTTTCGGTATGCAAGTGGATTTAGATCATCTGAGGGACAGGAGTTACTCCAATGAAATGGCTGTTGACTAGTGGCACTCAGAGACTTATTTACTGGAATGATCCTGTTCTTAATTGGCCAGAATGAGGGGTTGTCCTGATTGGGGGGCTTGCAAAAGCAAGTTTACAGAGGCAAGTTGTTGATTGATTGAACAGGTTTAAAATTAGTTATGTTGGGCTGACCCCGTGGCTCACTCGGGAGAGTGCGGCGCTGGGAGTGCTGAGGCCACGGGTTCGGATCCTATATGGGGATGGCCGGTGCGCTCACTGGCTGAGCACAGTGTGGGCGACACCAAGCCAAGGGTTACGATCCCCTTACCGGTCACAAAAAAAATAAAATAAAATAAAATAAAATTAGTTATGCTGGCTGTTTATTTCCAGGATACAGAATAATCGATCTTTTCCTAGAAGTATGGTGTTTTGTTTTGGTTTTTCCCCTCAAGCAGGATGGGAGTACATCTAGAATTCAGAACAGAGATTGGATCATCAGATTATGAACTGATCTTTTTCAGGAAAATTCTTAAGAAAATAATTAGAAAGGTAAGAGAAAGTAGAAATAAGCCCAACCTCAGGTAATGGGGCAGTTGTAACACAGGAGATTAACAAACCCAAAACCTCTTTCCTGCTGTTTTTTGAAGAGCCAAAGAACATAGACTAGTATCACTGTGTGTATATGTGGACTTCATGCCCAATAATATTACTGAATAGCCCAGAGCAAGGGCCAGCACACTTTCCGTATAAAAGATAGTAAATGTCTTAGGCTTTGAGGGAAATAGACTCACTCTATTGCACCTCCTCAGCTCTGCCATTGTAGGTGCCAAAGCAGCCATGTACATGTATAAACAAATGAGTGTGGCCAGATTTGGTCTAGGGTAGCTGGATTTGACTCACAAGCTGTGGTTTGCTGACCCCTGGACTAGAACAAGTAATCTTTCAGGTGCATATACTTTCAGGGATTCAAAAACCAAAATATCTGAATCCCTCTGACTGGTCAAGAGAGTATACATAAGTACTAAATAGTTGCTGACTGACTGACTTCTGATATCCTGTTAGGTTGCATGACAAAGATCCTGGCCCAGGCGACAGTACTGATTGAGAAATATCTGAGATGGGGCTACAGCTCGGGTAGAGACTGAGTTTAGAGGAAAAAGCCTCCAGTGCTCATTTCCAATGGACCTTAGGTGGTTCATGCTGTTGCTGCTGTATCCCCCATCCACCACGATGCTTTCTGGTCCCTGCTACATGGCTGACGGTACTGTGTCTGTAGGCTACTGCTCTTCTTCTGAAAACTGTTATTTCTACTCCAGCTGAAGAGATTTTGTCTTTTGCAGACCGATATGTCTATTAGCTAACATCATAGAGCTTGGCTCTGAAGCATCTTTAGCTTTTTGGAGGCTAGAGGATAACTTGACCCCTTTAGCTTCCTCCATTAAGAAACATTCCCAAGGTCAGAGGGTGGTTTTAGTGACAGCATCCTAGGGACCTGACTATCAGTTTGAAGTTATCTTGACCCCTTCCTCCAGGGTGCCCAAAGACCTTCTTGAAAACAGGACATCCTTCGTCCTGCCATGGTATTTCAGAATTACCGGGAGTAGTCATGGAATTAGCCCACCATAGTGGGCTATTCATAAAAGCATTTTTTCAGAATTCCTTTATCCTTCCTGGAGAAAAAGGAATAGCTCACATTTTATATCAGCACGTCTCTTGCTTGTGGCTAATATATCTTAAGATTCTTTTTAAATCAATCCTCAGGAATAAATATGATAGCTAAGAGACCTTTCTGGACTTAATTGGACTCTAATATCATTTGCGTCCATTTAGGGTTCAGGAAAAAATAATATTTCAGACTCTAATTTCAGATGTATTCCATGGGGAAACATTGAAATGCAAAGTGCCTTTTAGTGTTTTTTTGGTAAATGTCCTATTCAGTGTTTCTTTTTGCAAGTGAAATCTAATCATCACATAGAAGAATAAATAAGGATAAAAATTTGTTAGGCATAGGACTAATTTTGCTCTATAATGGGATAAGAAGTTATGAAAATTAGGACTACATTTCTTTATCCTCATGTCATCCTTATGTAAAAATTGGATAGTTTCCTTCTGGCTTAACTGAAATGGATATTTTAGCTATCAGTTCAAATATTTGGAAATTGTAAAATCAATCAAATTTTCTAATGACACAGCAAATGGAGTAGAAAGTTATTGAAAGTTCAGCTAGAAGCTGATTTTGCAGATTGCAAATCATGGATGTCTAGACGTATGTTGTTTATGTTTATCATCAGTATATGTGAATAAGATAATTTAAAAGTAACTAGAAGCAGTAACAAGTACATAAAATAAAGTATTTTCATTTAAAACAATTCTGATAGAATAAGGGTGGAGGAGAGAAAATTTTGGTAGAATTTAGCTGGTTTCTAGGGGACAGTAGAAGAGAAAACTGCCTCAGAATGAGGACTGTGCCTGCAGATTTAAACCTGTGTGTGAGAACGTAAGTATTTCTTAGGGATGAGTAGGAACAAGGAAGCAGGCTTGTGTTTTCGCTGTGTGAATTTAATTCTATTAATGAATACCACCAGGTGATCGGGTGCTCTTCTGAGCTTTAGAGGCCTGCGTGTGGTATCTAGCAAGTTAGGTTTAAGAAAAAGATGTCAGTGACTTAAGACCCGTGTCACATGACTTCCTCTACTTGCCAACACTGACGCTCTGGATCAAATTTCAACTCCAAGCAGTCCTTCCAGCCATGTGGGTTTAGCCGAAAAAGAAGCAAACCCACACTTCCTAAAATGTTAGGAGCTGCTCGTCGCTTACCGTGGAGCCTTTGGTTAGAAGCTGTTTTTCAAATCAAAGCATATCCCCTGAATGGGATTTTAGTATTTTGCTGTTGTTTTAGTGTTTTTGTCTGGTCTTCATCGGTTCTTCCAGATACTTCCTGAGAGAATGGGGGCAGGAGCTCTAGCCATCTGTGTAAGTACAGGCCTTCTTCTGTCTTCTGTGGCTGCTGCCAAGGTTTAGGAGAGGCCTTGGCCCTCCTTGTTTTGATGAGATGTTTGTGTAACTTTGTTTCTCCTTCCTATTGGGGGGGAGGGGGAATTTGTTACTTAAATTCCTGTCTATTCAAATGGATATTAAGCAATATTTGGGGTGGCATTCAGCATTTTTCTCCACTGTCCTTTCCAAAAAAGGTAAAGGAAGATGCATACTGAGATTATTCAGTAAGTCAACTTGATTTAATGTCGAACACTCTCTCTCCCACACATTAGACTTTCTCATTCCTAAAGAGTTAAATATGAATGCTTAATTGTAGTTATTGGAAGAATCTTGTGGCTAGCTTGAGAAAGAATTAAAATAAACATTAACTTATCTCTGAGTATATGTATGACTTTTTTTATTTCACATTTCTATTTTCATTTCATAATTCTGGAATTTCTGTTTTAGCACGGTTGCTGAAAGTGATGGTGGAAAGCTTAGTTGAGAAGTGTTTGTGCATCCTTAATCAACTGTAGAAACTTTTGGCTGTTATAATACAGTAGCGTCAATAAATAACACTGATTCAGGGTTGGCCGATTAGCTCAGTTAGTTAGAAGGCAGTAACTAGCCAGCTGCCTAAATAAATAAATAAACAACACTGATATAAAGTTCATGGGAAAATGCATATTTCTAGGACAGAAATTCATGAATTTCTTAATAATTCTGCTGTCACTCGTACAAAACCTTTTGCAATAATCAGATATTGTCAATTATATAATTTACAGAATGCTGTAATTTAAATTTTTATGTCAATATATAGGAAATACATATATTTATATGTGAATCACACATATTTATATTTCAAGTTGATATTGTATTCCAAGGGGCATTTTATTTGTCCCTAGAAGTACTAAAGGAGAAATATCTTGTTCTTTATTATCACCTTAACTACTCACTTCTTTTATTTTTTTTTTAAATCATATTCAGGTCAGATCCTGTTTTTTTTTTTTTTTTTTTTTTAGGTTTCAGAAAGAGCTGCAATTTGTTGTTGGTTGTGATGACATGTTGAAATATCCAGAAATATCTGGGCAATTTTTGGAGCATAGTCCTGGAATGGTCACCAGATGGTATACCAGCCCCACAGATTGAATATTTTTTAGTAAAACTTCAGGATGACTCCCTCATTTCCAAGCTCAGCATCATGTGTTCTAGTCTGTCTGTCTTTTCCTCTTAGCCCCAAGGCTTATAGCATTCAGGTGTCCAGGTGGTTGTATTTTTACCACTTCAAAGAATTTCCTTCAAAATCTGACTTTTCTATGTGTAAAATTCTAGCTTTTATTTTACTACAGAGACAGGTCTTCCAATTTTTTAGCTTTATCAGAGAAATAATGTAGGTCTGAAAATATATAGAATGAGGCAAAAGATTGACCTATTTGTCATGCAGATTTGTAGTCATCTCTGACTGTCTGATTAGATCTCCTTACTTCTTGCCCTTGGCCTGAACATTCATCTCTACTTTGACGGAAATGCAGACTGACTCATATGTGGAACTCCATATTTTTCCTTAATTTATATCCAAAGCATGTACGAAATTTCTTTTAAGGTTGGTATAAAAATCACGCACACAGTTGAAGAGATTGTTCATTCCTACTCTTCAACTTAAGGTTAGCCTTTGTGCTGTGTCTGAAGAGAGTCATTCTTCAGACAAAATGAGTATCAGATATTTGTACTGTGTGTACATGTGTGTGTGCACATGTGTGTTTATTTTTGGCCTCTTCAAGTGGGACACATATTGGTTCAAATATACTCAATTTCTGTGTCCATTGACTAACTTTCTCTTCTTCATTCCTTTTATTTAGCTCTTTTCCATATTGGTAGTGTTACAGAATTTTGCTGCTAGTGATTCTGGAGTGAGCTCACAAATTTACTTATATTGCCACTCATATTATGAAGAAAATGTAGCTGCTTTACTATTACAAATTATTTTTTCTCAGTAAGCCAGCCACCCCCAGGCAGACTGGGAAATTATACCTGCCAATTAAGGTTATCTTAGTCTCTTCTAGTTTTAATTATCACTTTTGGATGACTATGCTTTTTGCAGGTGAATTCTGAGTCTTTCAGATTTCCTGCCTCTTCTGCTGTTCTGTCCAAGGTACATGTGGGCATTTGAAGGATTGGTGGGCTTGAGTGGTCGTTTGCATATTTTAGTGGGTGAACAAAGAGGGGAGCTAGAGTGCATGTATGTGGGTTCTTATACTCTGGATGTTCTGATTTATGGGTGAGTTCAGGTGTCAGATCTGTGACAGGAGAATTTGTGGATCAGTTCTCTTGGTAGTATCAGGGCCCAACAGTCTACCTCACCTGGTTTAGCCCCATGTCTTGCTGGTGCTGACAATTTCCAGGGTATCCCAGGCCTTGTAGCCTTTCTCTCTAACTTGGGGACCTCTACTCCTGTAACCTTACTGCCTGGTACCACCAGCTACCTTCCAAATATTCTATAATGAAAGTGGGAACTTATGGTCACAGTGCAGAAAGGTTCATGTACCAAATTAAAATATTCCAGTCACAGGATTTGTTGAGTCAACTTAAAACATAGCAAGGAATAAGGAAGAAAGGACGAGGTGGTTTATGTACTTAGAAAGGGTTTAAGTAGGAAGAAAGGACCAAACCCTTTGAATCCTGTGTTACTTATGTTTATATGTCCTGTTTCTCTTGCCTTCTCTGCCACATCAGCCTTTTCTGATCATGGTGGTTTTGAGTACCAGTGTTGAGTGTGAGCAGGGGCCACAACATATGAAATGTGTCTGGAACCAACACAGCTTGCTCAGTCATCAGGGGCAAGTAGGCCTGGGTAGAATTATGACTTGCGATTACACTACTGAACATTCAGGGATTTTTATCTGCACATTTCAGGCAGAGAAGACATGGGACCAAAATGGGTATAATCAATGGGTGACTCATTTAAAGCATCAGTATTTAGTACCTCATTAATGTTGGGTGCTTACTTGGTCTTTCTATCGCTACTTAATTGTCTGTGTCAAATATGTCTTTGCCATAGACTGAATGTTGTGTCCCCCCGAAATTCATATATTGAAACCTAATTCCCAGTGTAATAGTATTTGGAGGTGAAGACTTAGGGAGGTGATTAGATCATGAGGGTAGAACCCTCATGAGTGGAATTAGTGCCCTTATAAGGGGCTGAAGAGACCAGAGTTCTCCCCTTCCTTCATCTGTGAACCAGGAAGTGGGCCTTCACCAGACAACAAAACTGCTGGCATCTTGATTTTGGACTTCCCAACCTCCAGAACTGTGAGGAATAAATTTCTGTTGTTTATAAACCCCTCAGTTTATGGTAATTTTGTTATAGCAGCCTGAATGGACTAAGACAGAAATTGGTATTGAAAACTATGAGTGCTGCTGTAACAAATATTTTAAAATGTGGAAGCAGCTTAGGAACTGGGTAATGAACAAAGGCTGGAAGAATTTTAAGGTGCATGCTAGAAAAAGTTTATGTTGCTGTGAATGGACTATAAAGGGTGATTCTGGTGAGGGCCCAAAAGAAAAGAGGAGAGCTATAGAGAAAGCCTCAATCTTCTAAGAGATTCTAAGTAATCCTGAATAGATGTTGGTAAGAATATGGACAGTAAAGGCCATCTAATGAGGTCTCAGACAGAAATAAGGAACATGTTATTGGAAGTTGGAGGAAACCTGATCCTTGTTTGAAGTGACAAAGGACTTCATGGAATTGGGTTCATGTTCTAGTGTTTTGTGGAAGTACAAGTTGAGAGTGATGAAATTGGATATATTCAGCTGAAGCAATTTCTAAGTAAAGTGTTGAAAAAGTGGCCTGGTTTCTCCTGATCATTTATGAGAAATGACTTAAAGGTGGAATTGTTGATCAGAAAAGAAGCAGAACTTAAAGGTTTAGAAAATTCTCAGCCTATCTGTATTGTAAAGAATGAGATAGCTGGTTGAGGGAGGGGGTAGAGGACACTGAGGATGTGGCCAAGCTGTCTTTTGATGAGGAAATTAGTATGGATCAGCCATCTCTACAGAAGCAGGAGCTATTCTCCAAGGCAGTGGAAGAATGACCCTGAAGATGATTAAGAAATCATCAGGGCTACCATTCCCATCATAGGCCCAATGTACAAAGGCCCAGAAGGTAGAGCCCTTTCAGAGGAGGGGCTACTGTGCCTTTACTATCGTGGGAGCTCCTCAAGGGAGCTCCTCAGTGCTTCTTTGCGTCTCAGGCTCCATTCCCCAGACTCTGATGCACACCGTTTGGCTGCTGCAGGCCCAGTGCAGCTCATTGGCTGCCCCTCCAGAGGGGACAGGCAGCAAACATTGGCAACTGTGTAGTTCCATCTTTACTGGTCTACCGAGAGCAGGAACCATGGGGGCATGGGTGCCTCCACCTAGAATTCAAAGGATGGGACTGACATCCCTTGGAGTCACAGGGGTTGGGCCCAGGCAGAGAGCTAAGTGCCAACCTGGCAAGCTGTAGGGGCAGGGCCAACTGGAGCCTTGGGGGCCCAACCACTGCCCAGAAAAGCTGCAAGGGCAAGACCCCCAACCCAGTAGGACCAGAAGGTGGGAACTCCACCCCAGTGGGTCTGGAGGGCAGAGAATCAAGCCAAAAAAGGATTATTCTCAAGCCTTGAGGTCTAATGGAATTCATCTCCTTGGGTTTCAGACTTGCTCAGGACAGGTCACTGCTTTCTTCCTTCCTGTTTCTCCCTTTTGGTATAGGAGTATTTGTCCTATGCCTGTCCCACCATTGTATTTTGGAAGCACCTAACTTGATTGATTTCACAGGCTCACAGCTGGAGAGGAATTTGTCTCAGTATGAATTGTACCTTGAGTCTCACCCTTATCTGATCTAGATGATATGTAGATGAAATTGTGGACTTTAGAGTTTTGAATTGATGGTGGTCTCTGTGCTTTCATGTTTCTTACATGTTGGTGTGGCAGTAGTAATCACTTAAAAGTGACCCACC